AGTTAGATTGTTGGAGATTGTTGTAGTTCTGGGAAAGCTAAGAGAGTCCTTAATGATCGGCAGTAATTTTACATTTTTCCCGAAGGTGCTATAGTCCTGCATACTCTACGTCAAAATGTTTTGTTTTTATAACAGGAAGTGCAGAGATGACATGAGGATATAAATTATGAAAAAATAGAATGGGGACGATATATATATATCTTATTAACCAAGCGCGAGGGCCGTACTGGGAGAATATCGGCCCGAGGTCTTGACAGTACGGACCGAGCGCAGCGAGGTCCGTACAAAAAAGACCGAGGGCCGATATTCTTCCAGTACGGTCCCGAGCAAGCTTGGTTAATAAGAGATTTATTATACGACTGAAGTTCAAAGGGACACAAGTGCGGTATCATTCGGGACCTTTCGGGACAGTGCCCAGTCCAATACTTAGAGAATATTGGACCGTCAATAGAGCATTTTGATTGGTTGATTTTAGTTATTGGTCCTCTGACTGCCCGAGTCGTGTAATAATTTATTTTATTTTCTTATACATTTACTCTTTCACGAATAGTGCACGTTGTGTTTCATTTCTTCCGATTTCGTAATCTGTCTTTGCGATGGAGTCTCTCTTGAAGAATCTCGGAAAAAAAGTCACTTGTTCCATTTGTCTGGATACTTACACCAAACCAAAGACAATAGCTTGTCTTCATACCTTCTGCTTGAAGTGTTTGGAGGAACACGCTTTGAAAACTCAAAGACAAGGACATTTTCGATGTCAGGCACAAGTCAACATCCCTCAAGGAAATTGTTTCGATAACTTGCCGACTGGTTTTCTGCAAAATAGTTTGTTGAGTCTTCTTGCTGTACAACAAAGCGGCGATGGTAGTCAGATCAGCTGCGGTATTCGTAAGAAAAAGAGCGCCGAGATCAGTTATTGCTTCGCTTGCGAGAAATTGCTGGCCATGACTGTGTTAATGGACACGAATTGTTTCAAGTGAGTACCTTTCATGGACACGAATTGGCGGCAGTGAAACAGTTTCAACCCGCAGACTACGAGGCCTTCCTGAAGCGTCAGTACTTTTTCCCTCAGCCTTACCACGAGAGAGAGGTAACCACGTTTTTTTTGCCTTGAATGTCAAAACTGTATTTGTTAAGTTTGCATAAACACTGATGACAAGAATCATAATATTGATCCGCTTGATAAAGCAGCGGATGCCGAGAAGGCCAACATTTTCGCGGCAATTGAGGCGATAGAAGAAAAGAAGGAAGTTTGCACCGATGCGATAAAACTTTTCAACAAGTTGCTGGAACGAAATATTACCGCTGCAAAACAAAGTTTCACAAACAGCCAATGAGAAATGATCACGAAGATTCGAAAACACGAGCGGAGTGCTACAAAAGTCCTGGAGCATACACGCGTGTCTAGAATGGAGAAAATAAACTCTTTGAATGCGCGAGTAGAGTCCTTGATCAATCAGCTTGAGCAAGCTGTCGAGTTTGCACATAACCTTGTTCAGAGAAGCTCAAGCTCAGATGTGAAAAGTAAAAAGAGTTTGGAGAAGCGATTTGAAGATCTCAGCAAGACCACGGTCCCAGCACTTCAGGTTGGTTCATTTGTCAAGTTTATTTCAACTTTTTCGACTGAGAAATTAAGCCTAGGTCTCGTGACAACCACCTTCGGACAATAGAACGACTAAATGAAAATCTTCAAGCTGGTTTAAATAGCAGAGTTTCTGATCAGTCCAAAACTTAAAGAGTGAAGAGGAGGTTACAAATAGAGGTCAGAGTAAATCTGACGTCGAAGTGCTCATAGAACCCGCTGAAGATGTAGCAAGTTTAACAAAGATTGAGAACAGAGATAAAAATTTTCAAGTCAGATTTGTTCCTAAAGTCCCTGGCACTTACAACACTACAGTCAAGATAAATGGCGACAAGTTTGATACCAGTCCTCTCAGGGTCGACGTGAAGGAACGACGGATTGATGTTGTGGGAAAGTTAGCTCTAAAGGGAGAAATTCCTTAAGTCCCAAATTGGATTACTGTCAACAGCAAAGGTAGAATCGCTGTAAGTGATTTCCTGAATTATTGTGTCCGAATATTTGATAAGGATGAAAATTTTGTGCGAAAATTGGGTTGTTATGGAAACAGCCCTGGACAGCTAATCAGACCAGCTGAAGTGACATTCCTGAATGATGACGAGCTCCTGGTGGTGGATGAAGAGAATCAATGTACAGACAGGGAACTTTGAAAAGAGCTTTGGAAAGAGAGGGACTGGAGACGGCGAATTTCGGGGACCCGAATGTATTTGCGTAAATGATGAAGGACATATTGTCGTAGCGGATCACTGGAACAACAGAATCTAGGTCTTAAACAAAGATGGTACTTTCAGGTTCAAATTTGGAGAGGACGGCCCTGGATGGCTAAATGGACCTAGTGGATTCATTTATCACAAAAACAAGTTCATTGTATCTCACACTGGACACCAATGTTTGAAAGTGTTTGACAGTTCAGGGAAGTTCTTGTACAAGTTCGGAGAAGAAGGCAAAGCTGATGGACAGTTTTTAGCTCCATCGGGTTTGTGTATTGAGAAACATCACGACCATCAGAATCTTTTGGTGTGTGACAGAGACAATGGACGCATTCAGCAGTTTACAATGGAAGGTCGTTTTATTGGCAAAACTGGTACTGCGCAAATAAGTCCGAAAACAATTGCTACAGCGCCGGCGCCAGATGGCCGTATTTTGGTATGTGACATTTCGGTCGAAAAAAATTTATTTATTGAAATATTCTTGTTTCAAAAAGGAATAATAATATTATAACAAAATAATCACTTTCATCATTACACTCAGGAAATTAATTTAACTGTGAACATGATTTGCTTACAGATCCTTTAGGTGTGTGTATTAAACATAGAAATGACATGACTTTCATCATGTCCAGAGCTGCATGGATCGGTGAGCCCGCGATTCTTTTTACCACGTGCATTGTTGGATATCGAGCTTTCCCGTTCCCAGGTTCCTTCGTCAATCGTTTCCTCTTGAGAGAATATTCTGGGTTTTACTTATCTTAACGTGACACTTTTCGATTTTGCAGGATAGGACTAAAAAATACAAATTAGCTCCTTCAAGATATTCATATAACTATAGAAATGCTCTCAGAATAAGTTTTCTCCGTTCTGTATCGTTGGATAATGAACAATTATTCCGCTGCTGCCTGTTGGATATTAGATGATAGACGGACCTCGTTAGCTATAATCATCTCATATTCAACAACGGCGACTGGGATAATTTTTTTATTCCAAACACCCCAAAACACAGATAAAGCTTCCCGACTTTATTTTGTTAGAAGAATCGGAATGTTACATGAGCGCGCATGGGATGATGATTCATAACCTGTGATTGCTAGGCGAATGAAAACTCTTGAATTGTCTTGTCCAATGATCTAGTTTTTTCCTGAGGAAAAAAAACATGGAAGAGTAGTTTTTTCAATTTTGGTAGACCAGTTCATTTGATTGTGACTTATCTCTAAATGTCTACCCAATATCTCTTACGATAAGTGTACATACATAATAGTACTGGGCGATTGATATTTTGACGAAACTTAAGTCCACATGTCAGCAAAATATTCATAGGAAACAACAGCCAACGTGTAGCCGCACCCTCCCCCCCCCCCTTGACGGGGGGTAAAGGTGCGCCAAAACGTAGACTAAGGAAACAAGACATTTTGACAATCATTATTCATTCTTTTGCATGAATGCCATCATTTAACTAAAAAATAGACAGTAAATTTATAATACTTATGCATTTTTTATGTGATCATAAGATATTTTGTTTCGTAGGGAGACAAGAGGTTTAGCTATAGCTGCGAACGTGATTTGATTAAGACTGAATAGAGAATGAACTAGTTTAGTTTTATGCTTAGTTTTCAGTCTTTGCTCACAGTAACAAAACTATTACTGATCTAGTGCAACCAGCCTCTCAACTGAAAAACTCGCAAGAATTGGAAGAATCCAAAAAAAGGTAGGCCGGAAAACGGTCCTAGAAAACTGCTTGGTAAACAGACACAAGGTCTGCCCCAGAAACGAATGATGATTAAGTCAATAATAATTTCCCAAATATATTTCTTGTGGCTCAGATGCGATCAGTAACTCTTGCAGGGAGTTCGTTGTATTAAATTAAGTAACGAGTAAAGAAAATCATCCGTCTCTGGTATTAAAAGAAACAAGTTTAAATGATGATTGAGTCCGCATTCATCTGCTCGAAGCTCAGGAATCTGAAAAAAAGTCCTGTTTTCTTTGAAATCTCTATAATTTTTTTCAAATGTAACTCAAAACAGTTACAAGTAAAGCTACTTTATTTATGAACAGACTCTCCTTGAATGGAAGCCGTCCGGCTGATCATTTGGTGGTTAGCGAATCTGAAATCTCGCGATAAGTGCGTGACAGTTGAGAAGCTTAAATTAGCAAAACAATTTCTTCATTAGGTGACTCCCGTCTATGCGTGACAAGGGTGACTGTCAAGAATATTCAAGGCAGGAAAAGTTAGACTAAAGATATACCTAATTTTTAATACTCCTTTAGCGAACCCAAGGTTTTATTTTTTCCCTATTTCTACGACTAGCCTTTTCATGTTTTTACGTGAAGTACCGGAAAGAAAAACGGCCAATTGTCTACAGTTCGTGTGGGACCGTATTGGGATGCAGTTTTGGAGCTCGCATTCTTTCTTCATTTATCTTCTTTCTTCTCTAAAAACCATCGCCATATTAACGGTTTGGTATCAAGGCTCCTATCTGAACGTAAGTGGGGAAAAACACTCAGTGACGTGTAAGTTTATAAAGTTAACCAAGTTATGTTTTTTTTTTAAATTCTAAAAATATACCACTTTTCTAAGCCTGCCACGTACTAGTCACTGCAGAGGGGAATTCCTTCTTCTAGGACATCAAATACACTTTATCGTAAAAAGCTCCTCTTTATCTGCCGTCAGTCACAGAGAGGAATGTAACAAGAGCCATTATTAAAAACACTGTGCTTGTTATGTTACTAAACATTCCGTTCCAAAAATAAAAGGTCACGAAGGTAAAAGGTTAGCGAATATAAAAGATTTCATTATTAATCTGACTGCTGTTTCTCGGAATCACAAGCAATACACGGGTGTGTTTCATTTCGCTCTGATTTTGTAATCTGCCTTCACGATGGATTCTCTCTCGAAGAATATGGAAAAACACGTCACTTGTTCCATTTGTCTTGATACTTACACCAAACCCCAAAGACCATAGCTTGTCTTCATACCTTCTGCTTGAATTGTTCGGAGGAACACGCTTTAAAAACTCAAAGAAAAGGACAATTTCGATGTCCCGATTGCCAGACACAAGTTAATTTAACTTGGAGTGACATTCCTGATGACGAGCTTCTGGTGGCTGATGTCTATAAACACTGCATTCACAATGTACAGACAGGGAGCGCGAGCTTTGTGAAGAGCTTTGGAAAGAGAGGGACTGGAGACGGTAAATTTTGGAGACCCGAAGTCATTTGGGTGAATGATGATGAAGGACATATTGTCATAGCGGATCATTGTAACAACAGAATCCAGCAACAACAAAGATGGCAAATCCATGTTCAAATTTGCAGACAACGGTCCTGGAAAGCTAAACAAACTTAGTGGATGCATTTATCGCGAAAACAACTTCATTGTATCTGAGGAAGACAACCATTGCATATTTTATTTTCTGCAGTATTTTTTGTTTGCGTTGCATTTTTTATTTGCGGACGGTACTTTTCTTCTTTGCGTTTTGATTTTTTTATTTACTGCAGTATATTTTTTAGTTGCTGCAGTATATTTTTTATTTGCTGCAGTATATTTTTTGTTTGCGTTGAGCCTTCTGGGCCACCGTAATTTCATGATATAAGTTTACGATAATAAGACTCTTCAATATTCTCCCATACATTCCTTTATATTTCGAATAAACAACCAGACTCGTCGCTTATCTGGGGACCCTGTGGAGTCACGTCCGCGTTTCTGAGTAGTGAACTTGGGTAACCTGTGTTTTCATTTCGCTCTGATTCTGTAATCTGACCTCGCGATGGAGTCTCTCTTGAGTAATCTTGAGAAACATGTCACTTGTTCCATTTGTCTGGATACTTACACCAAACCAAAGACCATACCTTGTCTTCATACCTTCTGCTTGAAGTGTTTGGAGGAACACGCTTTGAAAACTCAAAGACAAGGACAGTTTCGATGTCCCGATTGTCAGGCACAAGTTAAGATCCCTGAAGAAAATTGTTTCGATAACTTGCCGACTGGTTTTCTGCAAAACAGTTTGTTGAGTCTTCTTGCTGTACGAGAAAGTGGCGATGGAAGTCAAATCAGCTGCGGTATTTGTAAGAAAAAGAGCGCCGAGATCAGTTATTGCTTCGCTTGCGAGAAATTATTGTGCCATGACTGTGTTAATGCACACGAATTGTTTCGAGAAAGCGCCTTTCAAGGACACAAAGTAACGGCAGTGAAACAGTTTCAACCCGCAGACTACGAGGCCTTGCTAAAGCGTCAGTCCTTTTGCCCTCAGCCTTACCACGAGAGAGAGGTAACCAGGTTCTTTTGCCTTGAATGTCAAAACTGTCTTTGTCAAGTTTGCATAAACACTGATCACAAGAATCAAAATATTGATCCGCTTGACAAAGCAGCGGATGCCGAGAAAGCCAACATTTTGGCGGTAGTCGAGTCGATAGATGAAAAGATGAAAGTTTGCAGCGATGCGATTAAAACTTTTCAACGGGTTGCTACTGAGCTGGAACGAAATATCACCGCTGCAAAACATGAGGTTTCACAAACAGCCGAAGAAATGATCTCGAAGATTCGAGAATACGAGAGGGAAGCTACAAAAGTCCTCGAGAATACACGCGTGTCGAGAATGGAGAAAATAAACTCTATGTATGCGCGAGTAGAGTCCTTGATGAAACAGCTTGAGCAAGCAGTTGAGTTTGCCAATAACCTTGTTCAGGGAAGCTCAAGCTCAGATATTATGAAAAGTAAAAAGACTTTGGAGGAGCGATTTGATGATCTCAGCAAGACCACAGTGCCAGCACTTCAGGTTGGTTCATTTGTCAAGTTTATTTCAACTTTTTCGATTGAGAATTTAAGCCCAGGGTTCGTGACAACCAGTGAAATAGACACACGCCCTTGGACAATAGAACGACTAACTGAAAATCTCCAAGCTGGTTTGAAAGCAGAGTTTCTGATCTGTCCAAAATCAAAGAGTGAAGAGGAGCTTACAAATAGAGGTCAGAGTAAATCTGACGTCAAGGTGCTCATAGAGCCCGCTGAAGATGTAGCAAGTTTAACAAATAATGAGACCGGAGATGAAAATTTTCAATTGAAGTTTGTTCCCAAAGTCCCTGGCACATACAACATCAAAGTCGAGATAAATGGCGACAAACTTGTTACCAGTCCTCTCAGGGTCTACGTGCAGGAACGACGGATTGATGTTGTGGGAGAGTTGGTACTAAAGGGAGAAATTCCTAAAAAACTAAATTGGATTACTGTCAACAGCAAAGGAACAATCGCTGTAAGTGACAAAGAAAAACACTGTATTCTAATATTTGATAAGGATGGAAATTTTGTGCGAAAATGTGGCTGCTATGGAGAAAGGCCTGGGCAACTGAAAAAACCAGCCGGAATCACATTTTTGAATGATGACGAGCTTCTGGTGGCTGATGACGATAATCACCGCATTCAGCAATTCAATGTACAGACAGGAAACTTTGTGAAGAGCTTTGGAAAGGAAGGGACTGGAGACGGTGAATTTCGGGGACCTGAAGGCATTTGCGTGAATGATGAAGGACATATTGTCGTAGCAGATTACGGTAACAACAGAATCCAGGTCTTGAACAAAGATGGTACTTTCAGGTTCAAATTTGGAGAGGTCAGCTCTGGATGGCTAAATGAACCTTGTGGATGCATTTATCACAAAAACAAGTTCATTGTATCTGACATTGGAAATGAATGTTTGAAAGTGTTTGACAGTTCAGGGAAGTTCTTGTATAAGATTGGAGAAGAAGGCGGAGCTGATGGACAGTTTTTATCTCCATGGGGTTTGTGTATTGAGAAATATGGCGACCATCACAGTCTTTTGGTGTGTGACAGAGGCAATAGACGCATTCAGCAGTTTACAATGGAAGGTCGCTTTGTTGGCAAAACTGTTACTCCGCTAACACATTCGAAAGGAATAGCTACAACACCTGATGGTCGTATTTTGGTGAGTGACTGTTTCCTCAAAAAAATTTATTTCTTGAAATAGACGCTGAAAAAATGTTTGTTTGAAATGGAATAATAATGAAGGAATCACAAAATAATAACTGTCATCATTACACTCCGCAAATAATGTATACAATGAATATGATTTGCTCAGGGATCCTACAGGCGCGTGCATTAAACATCGAAATATTACTAAGATGAACTTCATCATGTCTAGACGGACAGAGCTGAATAACGTCTGTGCACGCACTAGGCTTTGCCGCGGAAAACGGATTTTGAGTCGTTTGCATGGTTGATCTTCCGTTCTGTTGCTTCAAGGTGTTGTTTTCCTTGCCATTTTTTTTGTTTTTGTTTTTTTGTTTTTGTTTTTTTTTTTTAACAAAACAACCTCCAAAAACGTTGTACACCCCCTAAAAAATTTTTTCGAAAGTTTATTTTCTCCTTAAAAACATGGAAAGAGGAAAATGCCTTTGACGACAACAAAATGCCATGGTTTTAAATGCCAGCCCTAATTATTTTCCCCTAATTCGCTAAATTTTAAACCTCACATGCTTGATTCCGTGTTGTTGACAGCTTACCCTCTGACGTAACATTTCGTTATTCAGCCCTGTCGTCTCGACGTGTATGCATCAGCGAGTCCATCAATCCTCTCCGCCACGTGCATTGTTAAATATCGAGCTTTCTCGTTCCCACTTTCATTGTCAATTTTTTTTAACCTAAAGGGAAATTCTAGTTTTAGCTTGTCACATGACAGTTTTTGATTTTGCAGGATAGGATTAAAAATACAAATTATTTCCTTCAAGATATTCATATAACTATAGCAATGCTTGCAATAGTTTATTTCATTCAGTATCGTTGAATTGTTAACAATAATTCTATGAGCCCGTGTTGGAACGATAGATAGCAAACGAGGCCCGTATGGCCGAGTTGGCTATAATCATCTGATATCCACGCAGCGTGAGTGGAGTAATTGTTTTATTCAAAACGATCGAAAACATAGATAAAGCTTCCCAAATTTAATTTTTAAAAAGACACGGAATGTTACAATGTTCAATAACAATTTTGGCTTAACTGGTCTTCAAGCGCGCGCATGGTATAATGACTCGTAACCCAGATGGGTAAGCCAATGAAAACTCTTTAACTGCATTATCCAATGATCCAGTTTTTTAACATAAGAAATAAGGAGGAGTAGTTTGTTTAATTTTGTTAGACCACTTTATTTGATTGTAACTTAGGCAGATTTTTCTGCTTTTTGACTAAACTTGAGTTCACATGTAAGCAAAATATTCATAGGAAACGAGACATTGCAACAATCATTATTGATTTATTGCATACATGCCATCTTGTGACTAAAAAATGGATAGTGAGTTTATGATACTTATGTATTTCTTAATTGATCTTAAGAGATTTTTTATTAATAATGAACTGTTTCCGTAGCGAGACAAGTTGTTTAGCTGTGAACTTGATTTAATAAAAACTGGATGGAGAAATGAATTTGTGATTTAGTTTTCGGTCTTTGCCCACAGTAATAAAACTACAATTGATTTAGTGCAGCCGGCCACCAAATTGAAAAACTCGAGAGAATTGGAAGAATCTGAAAAAAAACGACAGGCCGCAGTAAAACGGTCCAAGAAAACTACTTGGAAAACAGACTTAACGTCTGCCCCAGGAACAAATGATGATTAAGTCATTCATCTGCTCGAAGCCCAGGAATCTGAAGTAAATGTCTTTTTTTTTTTCTTTGGTCTTTTAAGTCATCATTGTCATCATTCAGATCATTTGAATCTGGTGGTAAAGCTCATGATTTACCACCTGAAGTGCAGGCACAGTTTCTCAGGAATGTGCACAAAAGATCTCTTTGATTGACAGGGCTGGATATGATTGAGTTTGAAAAAAAGTTGCAGACTGAGGCTGAAAAGGAAAATGTGGAATCAAAATCTTAACTTGAACAAAGTTTGGCAGCACCAAAATGGGAGCAGTTGAAGAGAGAAACAAGGATAAGAGTACAAAATTTGCACATTCTTTGCCATCAAATCCCAGAATGATGGTGAATTGATGAGGTAATTGTTTTTTTGTTGTTGTTTTATTGGCTACTAGAAATGCTACTTTTTGTCTAAAGAATGAGCTTTGAACTGACTTATTTGGAAATGACTGCAGGTATTGCTAATTCCCTTTGATATACATGCTAGGCCATCAAAGGTTGCCCCTAGAATTTCATCAGGCTTACCTGACAGTTTCTGTTAACTGTTTATGCTCTTGGGAGGAGAGAGGCACTAAGTTAATAGAGAGTCTTACCCAAGAACAGGTTAGCTTAGAACATTTTCTTGTTTTGCCCATGACAAAGCAAAATACTCAATAAGGTTTTAATTTGGAATAGCCCATAAATAAAATCAGCAAATAAACATCATTTTCATGTTTAATAGCATTGTTTTATGCATGTATCGATCGTAAGCACTTGAAATAAAATTTAATGGGAGACAGGATGTATGCCTTCATAAGTAGCAGGAAATTTGAGCTATTTTGAAAAATAGAATTTCATCTTGCTAGTATACACGATTCAGAGGGATTTACAGGATCCATGTTTTGGTCTACAACCGAATAGTGATTACGCAAGTACTGGTTTGGCAGTTGGGCAGGAAGTTAACGCTTTTTCACCTCCTAAATTCTCACTGAAGAAATCGTTTCATCGAAACAAACGCCATTTTGGTCTCTCTCACAACGCTTCGGCCCTGCTTGTCAACCCAACAAGAGATGTCCTTCTCGTCACTCTACTGCTACAATGCAATGATGTCTCACTAAACCCTGGCCCACCAGTGAAACTATGTGTTGAAAATTTTACCCACTCTAGAGGTCTCAAGATACCACACTTAAACATGAGAAGTTTGATGCCGAAATTGGATTCTTTAAAGATACTATTGGAGAGCAAGCCATTCGATGTTTTCACTGTATCAGAAACCTGGCTCAAACCGTCTATCTTGGATAAGGAAATAAACCTTCCTGGCTACTCTTGCGTACGATCTGATAGATTGGGAAAAGTTGGCGGTGGATGTATGGCTTACGTTCGGGATGGGATTCCTTATCGCCAAAGGCCTGATCTCAGTACTTCTTTTGCTGAGTCATGTGTTATCGAAATATGTCGGCCTTAATGCAAAAAGCTGTTGATTTGGACTATCTATTGTGCGCCTGACCTGAATGTGGAGTCATTTATTCAAGATCTGGACACTTCATTATCCGTATTACCTGAAAACATTGAGTTGATTTTACTCTGTGACTTTAACGTTAATTTCATAGACTCAAACTTGAATAATAATGAGAAAGCCATGAAACGTAAATTGATTCAGGTAACAAATTCTCATGAACTTGACCAGCTTATCAACAAACCAACATGGCTTACAGAAAGATCATCTACTCTGATTGATGTATTGTTTTCGAATACAATGCATCGAGTGACTGATCAAGGAGTTATTCATTTAACAAAAAGTGATCATTCCTTGATTTTCTGTGTCATTAAGTCAGGTGTCACCAAAGCGCCAAGGAAAACTATTGAATATCGTTCTTTCAAAAATTATTCCAAAGAAGATTTTGTAACTGATTTGAGAGATGTTGACTGGGAATCTGTTGCAAACAAGAAAGATGTCAACTGTGCCATCTCCACATGGAACAAACTGTTTACTAATATTGCTGATAGACCTGCCCCTATAAGGAAAGCAAGGATATGTGGAGTCCGCTGTCTGTGGATGAACTTGCGTTCATCACAAGCTATGAGCCAACACGATGATCTCCATAGCAGAGCCATTAAATCAAACTCACCTCACCTCTGGTCACATTACAAGAAGCTTAAGAACTATGTCAACAAAGAAATACAAAAGTGCAAAGCAGAGTACTACTCAAACCTAATATCTGTTAACCAGAGCAATCCAAGTGCATTGTGGAAAACCTTGAATGAAATCACATTACGTAAACAGAGCTCTCCAATCTCTTGTATCGAAGCTGATGGCGTAGCAAATTGTGACAATCCATCTATTGCCAAAATCCTAAATGTTCACTTCTCTACAATTGGTTCAAAGCTCGCAATGAAACTAAAATCCTTCACTACCTTACCATCTCCTCCTGCAAGGTCTACTGATTTACCAAAGTTTGTTTTCAAACCAATCACTGAAGAGTTCGTATGCGATCAACTTAAACAACTTAGAACTAACAAAGCAATTGGCCTAGACAATATTAGTGCTTGTCTTCTGAAAGACTTGGCTAATGTAATTAGTAAAAGTCTCACAAAATTGTTCCATCAATCTTTGGTCACTCGTACCTTCCCTTCCTTATGGAAGTTTGGAAAGGTATCTGCCCTCTTCAAAAAAGGCGATCGCTGTGACCCAAACAATTACAGGCCAATAGCTGTGCTACCTACGTTGAGTAAGATTCTGGAGAAGGCAGCACATAACCAACTCTACTATTTTCTCAAGGAAAACAAGATCATTACCTCCAAACAATTTGGTTTTCAACCTAAACTATCAACTAATACAGCTTTGACACACTTTACAGATAATGTACTTCTGAACATGGACTCTGGTCGTCTTACAGGAGCTGTTTTTTAGATCTCTCAAAAATGTTTGACACAGTTGACCACAAGCTTTTACTTCATAAGCTTAATTTGGTTGGACTCTCAGATGATACTCTAAATTGGTTCCGGTCATATCTCACAAACAGAAAACAAAGCACGTCTGTCGGAGACGCACTCTGTTGCTGCACCAATAACTGTTGGGGTGCCACAAGGAAGTATATTAGGATCGCTTCTTTTCCTTATCTACGTTAATGATTTACCATCGTGTCAGCTTGCCGGTGAAATTATTCTTTACGCTGATGACACTAATTTATTACTCTTCGACTGATCTATCTGACCTTGAAAGTAAGTTAAATTCAGATTTGACTACAGTTTCCAACTGGTTTTTGAGTAGTCTGTTGACACTAAATATTTCTAAATGCAATTTCGTTATTTTTGGTAACCCATGGAAGCTTAAACTAGTCAATGACATCTCTCTTAAAGTAAATTCCACTGCTATTGGTAGGTCTGACTCGCTTAAGTACTTGGGAGTTGTTATAAACCAAACTCTGTCTTGGTCCGAGTACATTGATACCATCAGTACAAAGATCAATCAAAGGATTGGAATGATAGAGAATACGACGTCTTTTGCCTCTACATGCTAAACGAACACTATATAATTGCTTAATCATCCCACTGTTTGACTATGGAGACACAGTGTGGAGTGACAAAAATAACGACATGCTCATGGGTCAGCTGCAAGTTTTTCAAAACAAGGAAGCCAAGGTCCTGCTTAATTTGCCACCAAGAAGTTCATCAACAGAGGCACTGGATCGTTTGGACCTAAAGT